TTTCATCAAACCCACTGGGATTTACAAACCTGTTTGGGGAACCCTGCATTCATGAACAATCTTTATTGATATAATATTGATATAAGAGTTCACTACATTTTAGATGTTAGCTTCTGAACTTTAGCTCAGGATGAAGTTAACCTGTGTGTTTTTGCTTAATGCACATTTGAACTGTCTCACAAAAATGTAAACAATAATTGCAAATGCAAAATCTTATGGACACCCTACATTAAAGATATTTTAGGGGTTGCTTTTCTGACTTGAGCCAGTAAGAAACCAACCAGCACACCTTTGTGTGCATATTTGCATATTTGAATGAAAAGCATGATTGCTGAAAAGGTTTCATGAAACGTTGAGTCCAAACATGATTGACCTCATTTCCCATGGACTGTGCGTTTCTGTGTTTCAGCATCTTTGAGCAATGGCTGAGGAGACACCAGCCCCCCCGCACACACTACCCGACAGCCAACGCCCCGATCGGACACAATGATGGCTATTACATGGTCCCCTTCATCCCTCTGTACAGAAACGGAGATTATTTCCTCTCGACTAAAGCTCTGGGATATGAATATGCATATTTACAGGACCCAAGTGAGTCATTAGCATGCATTCAGGGACTTTCCTGCACCTTCAGTCTCTCTCTGTGTACTCAATCACTTTTATCTCTGGCAGGTCAGCGGTTTGTGCAGGAGTTTTTGATGCCGTATCTAGAGCAAGCTCAGCAGATCTGGCGCTGGCTGCTGGCCGCGGGGCTCCTCGGGGCGGCCGTGGCGGGAATTATTGCAACTATTATCGCCGTGGCGTGTCGCAGACGCCCGAAGAGGCGAAAGTTATCGGCGTACGGGGAGAGACAGCCGCTGCTGAACAGCAGTGAAGAGGAGGGATCGACTTCATATCAGACTACACTGTGAATCAGAGCGAGGACAGATACGCCAAGCTGACGGGGAAAAGACACAACAGCCAGTTAACCAAGGTCTTGCCTCTTAAACTGGAGTCATGCAATAAGCGCTGCGTTCAGAATCTTGCTATAGTATGCATAATGTGCACTACATACAGTACTGTTTTTGATTTTATTCAGCAAGGATGCATTAAATTGATCAAAAGTAAAGACATTTGTAATGTCTTTCTATTTCAAACAAAAAATGCTGCTCATTTGAACTTTCTATTCATCAAAGTATCTTAAAAATAAAATGTATCACTGTTTCCACAAAATATGAAGCAGTACAACTGTTTTCAACATTGATAATAATCA